AAGGAAAAGGGTTTTGGAGTTTCTTTTGTTCGTTTCAGGACAAGTTAAATAAAGAAAAGATACTTTTCCTCTAGACCTTATTAGCAAGATGACTCCAGTTTTACTAAATAGAAGTAGCGCCTGAGTAATAACTCAAGGAAATACTGCAAATTTCACTCCTGCATGTGGAACCAGAGAGCGGAGAACGGAGGCACATGAGGATACATTGTTCTTTTCTGCCTTCTGTTGTTGCCTTGCATTTAAACCATGTGCCGTAAAGTTTTCATTCCAGAGAGAAAGGTCAGTCACAGACCTGTCGACATCAAGAAGAAAACTTTTGCAAAGTGTTATGATCAGTAGCCATATATTTAGGCTTTGTTCTTATTCACATTTTGTTTGTTTGTGTGCACATGCAGGAGTATTTCAAAAAGGAACCTCTGAGTTTTAATTAGCTGTAAGGGAGGGAAAAAAGTGAACTATGGCAAGTAGAAATGTCTTTCTTGACTACGTAAGGTGTTTGCAGGGTTGGTTGTAGCCACATTCATCCTAGGATATTAGAGAGACATGGGGTGAGTTAACATCTTATCTTTGGGCCAGTTCTATGGGTGATGAGGCAAGATTCCAAGCTACTCAGAGGTCTTCCTCAAGGTCCTTCTCTGATCTAAAGAAAATGCTGCATAGCTCAAACACTTATCCCTCTCACCAACAGAAGTTGGCCCAATAAAAAATGTTACCTCACGCACCTTGTCTCTCTAAGAAGCATCAATAGATAAGCTACTGTAATCTCCATTGCCTGCCCTTGGGCAAGGCTAAGCATAGTGGGCAGAACTACTAGGTTTTCTATTTAGTTTACAGAAGGGATCACTCTACCTTTTAGCAACTGGCCATTGACAGAGGCTGCACCCCAGCACACTAGTAGAGTGTGCCTTCTGTACCCCCCTCAGGAGATGTAGCCAGCTCCAGTGGCTAGTGAACAAGCAGTCCTGAAATGCAGAGAGCACAGAGACTACTGTACTCTGCCACTGTTCAAGGACACACAAAGGCTTGTTTTTTATTTTGTTTTCTGCTTCCTCTTCTGACATCCTAGAGCAGCTGAATAGAGCTTGCAGCCACTGGTATCTTCATTTGCAGGTAGTAACTACTGCCACAATAACTATAATCTCGAAAAGCTGATATTGCTCAAGTCTTATATCTATATATGTAAAACCCTAATTAAATGGACTGGTTTACAGCTACACAGTAATGGGTGATATGGAAATTGTTTAGGGAAAATGTAAGCAAGACAATGTCAGAGCAACTTGGTTTTCATGATGAAAGCAGGTACCATGGCTTATGCTTCAAAACAGTTCTGTGTTTCAGGACCCTATAACTTGATTATCTCTAATCAGCTGCTCTATTTAATACTTGAAAGCAAGTCCTTGAGATGCAAATGGACAGCTCTTCAGCTCTACTGTGAAAATATGCAAACAAACTCCAAGACTACTTTAAGACTGAGAAAACTCTCTCTTGCTCACACAAACCCTTTCATCTTGAAGGAATCCCAAGATACTTTGCAAACATGAAATATAGATGTCTAAATATAATTACAGCTCCTTTTTTTCAAAGAGCTCTGAACAGACCTGAAATTCAGGAAATATGGGTATGGGATAAGCAGGGGAGCAACCCACAATGTTTACGGCCGGTGGGGGATATGACTGACTGTCGATTAACCAAAGGTCGAATAAATGCAGTCATTGTTAATATGTAGGAATCATTTCACTAACCATTGAAATGCAAGCATCTCTAGGGTGGAACATGACATTTTTAACAGTGCACTACATCATCTGAAATGAAGAAGAATAGTATATGCTAAATTTAGGTGTCAGGAAAATGTAAGCAGATTGTAATAGCAAAATATAGTTATCCAAACCGTAATTTAATGAAGACATTGGGCAAACACCATTGCTCTTTCCAAAGGTGCCAGGCGATCCTTAGTTACAAGATTTTGGATTTTAGGATATTTAAGAATATGTTTTTACATATTATTCAAACAACCCCTAATAATACCACAGTGACCTGTACAATCAGACTTCAGTCCTGATTTAAAGGGAATAGTATTATCTATACATGAATTACTTAGATGAATTATTAAAAAGTGTACTATATCCAGCTTTTAAATGAGCTTTCACAAAGTTACTAAAGCAGTTACAAAATGATGGCCAATCATAGAATTTGGTGGTGATGGTCAAAAATCATTGGTAAACCTCCCAAAACAATTTGAATTTTAGTGTGGTTTTTTAACTGATAACCACAAGGTCTCTGAAAACTTCTTAACATACCTCTTATTATAAATCTAGTTTCTTGAGAATGGGCATGGGACTAAAATACCAAACTGGCCTACATGGCAACATTAGCATTATCAGAATTAGTAAAAGTGTTGTAGGAAATACACAACAATGGATTTTATATATAATTTATGCATGAAGTACTAGTCACTGTAGAAATCAGTGCTAGCTTCTCTGGAGTCATTCCAGTTGAATGTATCTAACTAGGTTTCTTTTCAAAATTACTATTTATGTCACCTACTCAAAGCCATTTTATGTTACATCTTTCTATGGTAAGTATTACTTACTGGAAAGAAACAGTTCCTCTAGAACCATTCCTGACCATCTCGCAATTACACACAGGCTACGTCTACACTGGCATGATTTTCCGAAAATGCTTTTAATGGAAAAGTTTTCCGTTAAAAGCATTTTCGGAAAAGCACGTCTAGATTGGCAGGATGCTTTTCTGCAAAAGCACTTTTTGCAGAAAAGTGTCCGTGGCCAATCTAGACGCGGTTTTCCTCAAAAAAGCCCCGATCGCCATTTTCGTGATTGGGGCTTTTTTGCGGAAAACAGTACTGTGCTGTTTACACTGGCCCTCTTGCGCAAATGATTTGCGCAAGAGATTTCCACAAGAAAACTGATGATCTTACATGAGATCGTCAGTGTTCTTGCAGAAATTCAAATGGCCAGTGTAGACAGCTGGCAAGTTTTTCCGCAAAACCAGATGATTTTGTGGAAAAACTTGTCAGTCTAGACACAGCCACACAGATGCAAAGAAAGTTACAAAGTGGTGTAAGCAGGTGCAACTTCCATTAAAGTCAGTGGATTTTGACAGATTCAAACCTGGTGTAAGCAGGCATAACACAATGAAGTTCAAATCTCAGAATACCAGATCTGAACTTGTCAGCTGGTTTAGAACATTTTCCCCGTCTGCTTCTTTTTTGGAGTTATAAAGTGCTGTTGCAGGTGAGCTGCTCCCGAGATCATTCTATAACAGTAAATGAAAGAACTTTACAATACCCAAAAGAGACAGGCAAGAGAACAATTATAAGTAAAGCACCACGAAGTCCTAACAACTTGTAGGTGCTTTTAACTTTACGGACAGGAGGCTTTTCAAAAGCTGAGTGATAGGGTTCTCAATCCCTGAGCACAATGAAGAGATGTGTGTGCTTTCTATGCTGCGTGTCCCATAGGATAATTTCTCCTCCAATACCTCAATGTAGAGCAGGGCAAAGTGGAAGAAGCCCTGAACTAGCACAGAGCACAGCATTTTATTGATATTTTACATATAATTAAAACCCACAGCCACTAATAATAGCTGCTACCAACTGAGCCTTTTTTGTTGTGTTTTATGGGCACTGACATTTATTTATACCCTAAAAGATGTTTTGGATCGAATAGATCATGGAATCAATCTCCATAGCCTCTGACAGCAATAGCCACCCTCAAGTAATCATCATTTTGAGCATCAACTCAGCAGCAGTTAGTATTTAGTAAACAGGAAATCCATCCCTGAGCACAAGGCTTATCCACTGATTAATACCCATTTAATCTGCTAGTCTGAGGACTAAATGGGGCATATATGGAGTATAGGACTTGTACTAGTTTCCACACGTATCTGAATGTTACCTTACAGCTTACTTCTGTCCACATAACTGCCTTGTAAGGGCACTCCCATCCCACAAAAAAAGAAAACAAGGTTTCTTCACAATAGGAAGATCTTGAATTTCAAACAAGTTCTTCATGTTCCTCTAACTGAAAACATATCAGGAAATAATTTATTGACTATAATTAATTCCAGAAAATTGATTGAAAACCACTTTAAGCATTCTCGTATGCATTATTGACTATGTGAATTTTTCAACACTTTTAAAATAAGAAAGAGACCAAATTGTGCAAGACATACTAGCATTTAGGGATACCATGTAGATTTATAACACCAAGAGAAATCTGAGTTGTCTAATCTCAGTACTGACCATTTCTTTAATTTGAATCAGATCTTTCACCTTTTCTGAATCAAAGTTTCTCAGTGAATAATTCACCAAGCAAGAAGACTGAGGCTGCTGAATTATCACAGCATTATTCAATTGGACCAAGTAACCTGAGAATAGGGAAATTTAATTCAGTATCTAACTTCTGAAATGTACCATCTTGCAGTTTTACTCACAGAAATGCCTACTACGTAGATAGTACTATTGCTTCATTTTACCTGCAACACTGGGCATCCTGGAAGAATCCTGGTGGCTACTGGATTTGTTGCGGTTCTGATTTTTCCTTTTATTGTTAGCTGCTCGGACAGATCGAAAAAGCACTTCACTTGCCTTGAAGAATGCAACCATGAAAGGCTGCTTTGATTGAGGCCCGTGTCTTCCTATAAGGCCAGCTGATTTAACATTTATACTGCGACCTATAAAATAATGCATACATACAATCAATACCATAAGTACTGTCAAATGTTACTATTTCTTATTGCCAGATAAATATGAGTAAAATCTTGGTCAAAATGACATCAATAGGAGTTTTGCCATTAACCTTGTGGAGGCAAGGATTTTACTCATGACCCTGAATTAACAAAATAAAGTTAAGGTTTCTAATATTATAATGTAAAGGGGAGAGAACGCAACACATTTATTTTTAAAAGTTTCAGCAACTTCACAGTCTACCACTGCATGAAACATTGTCTTTGTATGTTACGCATTATACACAGAACCCAGATATATTAATTCAGTAGTATATATACCGATGCATTGCAAAGAAATAAATCAACTCCATTAATGTCTATTCTCTTGGAAAAGAATAAAATGATGCAGTCTTGTTATTTTACTTCACAAATATGTTAGGGGAATTTTATTTCCCTAACTAAAATCATTAGGAATGAAAAGAGTAGGCAATAAATATATTTACACTTTAAACACTGTAAAAACATTACTCCAAGTTCATGTGACGTCATTATTACATATACAGGGGCACTCAATCTTTCAAGAGGAATATAAAAGAGTTTGAAATATGTACACAATTGACTCCGGTTCTGCTCCTAAGGGATGTACATACTTCTTTAAAATATTTGTTCAGTCAGGACTGTGTGGTAACCTCACTGTATCGGAGGAACTGACCCTCCCTAAAAGACAAGTAAGCAAAACAAGTCACTGAAACGGCATCAGTGACATTTTAACAAATAAACTCTTTCTCTTAACAGAATTTATTTTGGCAGCATAAACACTTTTGTGTGTATGCGTATTATGCAGAGCCCTTCAACCATCAGAAAATGAGTGTGTCACATGAAACTATGCAGCTGTGCAAGGGTGGGGGACACGGAGGTCCTGTAAATGTGAAGGTATTGGTAAAGAAATAGTCTGGTGTGGGACACTGATGTGGGCGCTATCAAGGCATTCAACTATTGCCCTAGTTGATTTGAAAGAGTTGTTAAATAGCTACAAGGATAATAAAGGAGCATCTGCCTCACAAATGAACTGTAGAATGCCATTAAACTTAATTTTACTAGTAAAAGACCTTACAAATAACCATAGGAGTAAACCTTAAACAAATAAGCCTATAGGTTTCCTTTTAAATGCAAACTTACAGTGGCTCTGTGCCAGGGTCTATATTTCTTAGAAAAACTCTATCACTGGCGTAAATGAAAGAGGCAGTTTGATTTGTGGTTAAAGCAGTTTCCATTCTACTTCCACTGTAACAAATGTATTAATTCAGCTCAGACTTCCTCCTTCTGGCAGCCCGTTTGCAGTAAAAAGAGAAATTAGAAGTTCCAGCCAAATACCATACCTTGAACTGACCCACTTCAATACATAAACACTTTTACAACATGTTTATTCAGGTGTAGCACTTTAAATTGGTTTAAGATGTTTCCAGTGACAGAGAGCCCAGCAATGGCAAAAGAAGAACTGAGAAAGTTAGCAGTTATGAAACGGAGTAACTGGCAACATATTCTGAACAATTTTGATAATTGCTTTTTTGACTAGAAGGGGAAAATTATTTGTTAAAGCTTCTGATTTCATTTTTAAATGGCTTTTTAGTTTTATGTTATTCTAATTCTTCTCTTCATCTATTTAAATAACTATGAAATAACACATTAAAATTAATTTCTGAATGTTCAAGTCTTATGTAGCAGGTCAAATATGAAACACTGTACAGACTATTCTCTATTCATTACAACATGGACCGACCAGCTACTTACCACAAAGTTCCACGTTTCCTTTCCTTTTCTAGAGGGAATTCTTTTTGTCCCAATGACTTTCAAAATTTTAATTTTATCTGTAAAAGATTAATACCGTACTGGCAGACATTTTAGGAATCCTATTAGATTTATGTACTGAGGACTGTAAAAGATTGTGTAGGTTCTCTAAATTTAAATCTAGGTTCACTGAATTTACAAAGGTGGATATTGTGTGAGAAGCAAAATACTCTCAAACCATGTGAACTCCCTTTAAAATAACTTTTAATATTATTAAGTTTCCTCTTGGTTTCCTTTAGACTTCAGCAGTGAGATGACTATTAAGATTCCACAAGTTAAGGTTTACTTAGTTACTCAAGGTATAGAGATATAAACCATAAAAAAAATCTAAGCCCATAACCCACACTCCTTTTAGACACAGAAGCAATTTATGTGGCTCTGTAGCCTCTGTTTATTTGATTTTCTGAGTAGCCAAACTACATTTTTTAGGAAAAGAGGGTTTTTTCCAACTCTGCTGTAGAATAAGAACACAATTCTACCTACTAAACTCAATTCTACTAAAGTCAAAGGTAAAAGTATTGCTGACTTTTTACTTCTCAGTGCTTTGAGTTCCATTGCCTACCTTTGTTTATTATATATGTTAGATTTAATTGCATCTTTCAGAAGATGATTCCATCAAAATATACACTTTTCACTAGTAGTACTAGCTATATTTTATATTGGATAGATTAGGGTAACTTCTAAAATATATCTCAAACTCTGGGTCATATTGTCTCCTGTATATTACATCCATGTAGACTACTGGAAAAATTTGAAGAATTTCTGTTTGCACAGCATCCACAAGATTACTCCC